CACGATGAAACGAGGACCTGGGTCCTAGGTAGACAACAATTCTCTGGGTATCTGGGTCCCAGGTGATTCCAAGGAGGTTGTTCCGATCGTCGAGTCACTGAAAGATGCCCTGTCGAATAGGCAAGATAGATAGTCGGGTATCTTCTCTTAACGTCGACGTATCGCGCTGGTGCCAGACTTAGCCGGGTGTCTCGGAAATCAGCGGCTCTGTTTGATGTACAATGAAACCGTTGAAACGGGAATTAGATAATTTCGAGGGGCGACAGTGCCCGGATTTTCGAAAGTCACTGGTGTATAGCCCTTTAGTCGCGAGAACGTTGTATCTTCTCGCGGGGGGGTCGGAAACGTGTAGGATTCGTGTCTAGATAGGACGAATAGAAGATTTCAGTTGTAAGGGAACGGCGTCGTGACTTTTACAGCGACCCAATATATTGTGATATATTTATTTTTATACACGTAACGTCACGAGATAGAAAAGGGAAACGTACGTCTTAAGTCACTGTACAGTATTAGTTCGTGTGTTTCAATCGTCATTTCGAAGGACAATTATAAATTCATCGTACTTGTTCTATTGTTCATTCGTCGTAGCCGATTAGTTTAGAGATCGGGGAGGCTCGTGCAGCTAGGTTTATCACGCGACGCGGGATCGTCGGGTTGTATCGTCGACGGTGGTTGTATCCGCATATTCGTAGACCCGGAAGCACTTCTGATCAGTTCATGCGATACAGTCAGAGGAACAATATATTTCTATGCAACTGAATGATTCGTATAGACACACCGTCGATCCTTCTACCGTTAGGGGCTGTTAAATTTGCAATTTAAATTGCGAACCGATTAAACGAATTTGAAAATGTCAATGTATTATTTCCAATCTCCTAAAGTTATCTAAAAAAAAAAAAAAGAAAAAGAAGAAACATACTACATAGCTTCTATTTTTTTGTAAACCGACGTAGACAATTTTCATTCAGCATAAAAGTCCGAATCCGCGATCCGTTAATAAATATTTCAAATATGTCAACTGTTCGAGACGAAAGCATTTACAAAATCGTGAGAGCTATAGTTTGAGGACAGAACGGCTTTCTGTCGAATACGTTGGCTAATGTTACATACGAAAATAAATACTACATACTGACGAATGCTCAGAAAGATGTCATAACATTTTCAAATAAAATCGTCGATATTCATAATTAAATTGTAAGTTTAATTAAATGAAATGAATGTTGCCTTCGACTAGTCAAATGTATAATGTAATCTGACACGCTTCTGAGAACTATTCCGATACTATTCAGACTGTAAAAAATTGCGGGACACAGTCGTCGCGGTCCAAGAACACTGTCACACGTGTCGAATCCAGTGCAACAACTTTTCGCTCCGCTGTATTTCTATGAATGATTTCGGAAAGTGATACGCGTGATCTGGTGCAAGCGATTCGAAAAGACACGAATGCTTCGTAACTGGGCGCAGATGAATCCTCTTGTAGGCCGTCCTCATTATCCTCCAAGTTCCCGTCGTTCTCGAAACGCGCCGCCATTTTGCTTGTGAGCCCGTTCCCCCAGCGGTTTGCCGAAGCGTCATAAAGGCCCAACCGAGGCTCGTTTATTTATAAACAAAGAAGAAAAAATGGAACGCTCGCGCGAGCCGGCAGCCGCGTCTCTCATCGACTCCGAGATCACGGATGACGATGTTCGTCGAATTGAACGAAGTTACCCCGTAAAAGAGAAAACGCGCTCGCGACCGCCATTACGTCGGTAATCGGCCCGGCGGTGTGAGGAGAGGCATGATACGAGGACAGACAAACGATCAGACACAAGAAAAAGTATAATAACAACAAAGGATCGAATAAGAGTTCAACTGTGTTCGTGTGTACATACAATACGATTATGTAAAACGTAGTCTTTATAAAAACGAGAAAAAGACAAGGAAGGAACGGAAAGGGGGATACTAAGGTAACGAGAGAGCGGAGTAATCGATTTACAGTATTGTCGGACGAAAGTTCGCGCAGCATCGTTGTTAAGGGATTATCACACGCATTCGTTCAAATCGCGACAATTGTTGTTGGAGGATTACTTGAAGAAATTTTGAGGAACGAGAATATATTTAATGTTTATATATATTAAATATATATAATGTTTATATATATTTAATGTTTAAGGGATCGGGTTAACATGAAATCAGATACTGTCCAGGAAGACTGTTAACGAAATCGAATGTGCTTTTAAATTGGAAATAAGTTTTCCACGGAACCGTATTTTAATTTAGTATAAAAGTTATTAGTAGACAGCGGATTTTATGCATTCGTGACAAAAATGAATACAGTAAATTCTCCCTAATTTTGATGGAAAATTCTCCTTAAATCACGGCTCGTTTTTACAGTTGTTGACAACCGGTAACTATAAAAACGAGCCGCAAGCCTCGAATAATCGCATCTCCTCGTCCCAAATTGTCCATTTTTGTGTACAATCTGAGCATGAATTAGGGAGAATTTATTGTAGGACGAATCTAAAATGATAAAAGGAGTAAAGAAAAATCTAAATATGTCAATATATATTATTCTATTGATCTATTAGTATTGTTAGCGGCAGAATAAAACTTTTAATTAGCAATTCTTATTTTGCATACAGATGCGCTGTCTGGTTACTAGGAATATATGAGCCGTTTATTTTGAAAGTGGCATAAATCACTTTGTTTTTAAGTCGATATATTCAAGGATTTGCGTTTTAACACGTTTAAAAATATGAATGTTAACTTTCGAGAAGATTTGCTTGTATTTGTTATCTCAGGATACTGATATTTTTCTCAGTATAAATAATATATATTATATTATATATTATTTATTTATATTAATATATATTATATATATTATAATATATATATTGATATATTAATATTTATTTATATTATAAATATATTAATATATATATATATATATATATTATATAATATTATATAATATATATTATAATATAATATAAAATCACCACTTTTCATTACGGTAAAGTGACTTATGCCACCTTCAAAATAAACGGCTGATATTTTGCGAATATCGTCTCGTTCGTTCAGAATTTCCATCTCTGATGATTTGTATCTTCGAAGTAGCATAAAACTCGGGTGTTCGCCTCGGAAGTGTGATAACCCCTTGAAGAAATTACACGCGGCACAGTGTATTATAACACATGTCCTGTACATTCTCTATGTTTTGTAAGAGCCCGCAATCTTCGAACGCGATAATAATACGCTGTGCGTGACCTAACCATCCGACATCGCGGTTACGCGACGCGTACGCAAGACGATCGTTCTATATTTACTGTTTATAATGTCCAGCGAAGTTATAGTCGGCAGAGGAGACGCAACGAACTCGTCGATCTAGTCCGCAGAGGAGCGTGGATGAGGCTAGATCCGACCGGACCTTGCACTTGCTGCGAGCAAAACCCAGACCTGCATACCTCACATCTGAACCCGTTCTGGGATTCCGAGGATTCTGCTGCGGGTCTTTATGTATTCACTTTCCACGTGATCAGGCGAAAAAACTGCACAGATAAACTATGGATTTTGGGCATTCGCGAGGAAAATTAACAGACAAAAAATAGAAATCTTTAAAATCGTTAGTAGAGTTCTATCGTAATGTTACTAAAAAAAACAAACAAAAGGAGAAATACAGTCACGAACAAATATATGAGCCGTTTATTTTGAAAGTGGCCTAAGTCCATTTATTTGAAAATCCAGATATTTAAGGTTTTTACGTTTTATTAAATTTAAAAATATTAATTATTATAATATCATATTGTATTATTATATATTATAATTGATAACTTGATGGTATAATGTTTTTGTGTTCCTAAGGGTCACCGCGTTGCCGACATGAAATTATATGTATAACGTAGAAATATGAATATTAAAATAGCTAGCTCGGTGTGTTTTTGAAAAATGAACTTAGGCCACTTTCAAAATAAACGGCTCACATATGTGGACAACTTTTCTAAAGTTGAATCAAACGAATCGGATTTTTTCTTGAAATGACAGAAAAGCTAGTTCTCTGGAACAGTGTCAATTTATTTTACATAAATTGCAATCAGGTGGAATGACAACAAAGAAAAGAAAACTTGAACGTCGATTTCGATGCTCGAATAAAAAGTTAGAAAACGTGATTTCCATAATTTTCTTGTCATTCCAACCAATTACAATATTTGCAACAATTTTTTGGACGTTGTCTAGTGAACTAATTCTTAGCGTCCCAAAAAAGACTCAACTCGTTTGATCTAATTGCGAAAGGAAGTTAGACCATTTTGAAGGAGCTGCACACTTCTGTCGAACTTCAAAAAAATCCGCAGTCTATACCATGGACTAACAAACAAAATTTTAAATAAAATCCTCGCTAAAATTTCGTCTTTCTATTAACGTCTAGAGAGTCAAAAGGCAATTATCAGAGACGCGAGGAGCCTGCAAAAAAGGGAATTCGATGAACGAAGCCACGAAACAAATATTCGAAATAGCAATAGAAAATATTCGAAAGAGCTTATAAATGTTTATAAATGTGTGCGCGGGGTTCACTGATCACGCGCAAATTGTCTGTGCGAACATTTATAAACGGGTTTTCAAATAGAATGCGTCGGACGAACGGGCAGCCCGGAGGCCGATCGAGGTCGCCGGAAACGAATTAGGCGAGTTCGTTGCGGAATCTTGTCCGTTGATTATAAAACGAGGAAACGCCGACGGAGACGCCGCGGCCGGTGCTCGGAGACCATGCGGCGACTATGGTCGCCGATTCTTAACCGTGACCGATCCGTCCGGCTCGCGGGGGCGTCGCGTCGGCCGTTTCCGGTTCTGGAGTCGATTCCTGGGCCACGTTTCGCCGACGTCTCGAAAGCAATTTTAGTTAGAACCGGGTGAATACAGTTAAGAGACACTTTGTGATATTCTGTCCTCCTCTGGCGCGTTCCCTCGCAGCTCTGCGATCTATAGTCGGATCGAAATATAGCTCAAGGTCACTACCCCCGACGACGTTCACTTGGAATTTTTTATTGACTTGGAAAGATACTTTGAAAAAAGGACAACAGAGGCACTTTGATACAGTTCTTTGGGATATTCTGTTTTTTTTTTGTTACCGCGTGTCGGTCTCTGCGAGCACTCAGATCCATCCATCCCGCCCCACCCGCCCCACACTCTTACGAATCATGCGACATCCGGCGCCCCCGTCTGATTCTGTTCTTTGCAGATTCGCTCGTCACTGCTGGATCATCGTTCATTAACTCCTCCTGCTCCGACTGCGCAACTGTCAAGGTAACATTTTCTCCGTGGTCGATTTAGGGGATGCTGCGTGCTCTCGCGCTGATTAGGGTGGACGCTTGAATCGTCGTTGCGCGTGAAATGTCGAATTCCATTTTCGGTCGGAGCTTGCGAAGAGCTGCCGAAGATCTTCGAGCATCGATCGACGCCCAAGTTTCGGGGATCTAGAAGGTTTCAATGTTTTGATTTGCACCGAAAAATTAGATCGGTCGATATATATAATTAGCAAAAACGAATTTATATTTTCCGCGAGGTTTTAACGATGTCGCGAGACAACCGATGGAGGACCGATTCGGAATGGAACATTTCACGCGCAGGCAAACGAATGAACATCGTACCAGACGCGGCACACGCGACAACATAGAGGTTTAAACAATCGAGGGGCAGGCTATAGACGACGGAATGAGAAATTCATGGATTCCTTTAGCAACTAAAATTCGAACGCAAGTTGATTCTATAAACGTTGGACAATTATAAATGAATCTCGTTATTTATTATTAGGTCTTTAGCCAATAAAGTTCAATACGTTTTTTCCTAAAGACTCGACGTTCTCTGGAATTGTGATATATATAGAGAAGCGAAGCCGCCGTTCCATTCGATAAAGGGAAACCAAAAGTAATTGTCCTTTGAAGGGAACGCCTCCGTCAGTACAAAGAGTAATTACATTGTAGAAGAGTAACCATAAAAAAAAAGAAACGGCAAGAGAAATAAATTTTGAAGAACTTATGGACATTCGTTCATTTATTAGCTGTTAAGCGAGCAAACTTCGAAAGTGCTGGAACTGTATATGTTTTCGAAATTCACAAGAGTCTACACGATAGTCACGTCGAAGCGATGAAAAATTTGTTATTCGAACGCGACGCGGTTGCAACAACAAATTTTCCATACTTAAAAATATATCTTTCTGTAGTATACACATCTCGTGTGCTGTGTATCCGTTTGTATCGTTCGAACTAAATAAAATTCAAGATACGCTACTTATTAGCTCTGATTAATAATTGAATCAATGTTCATAAAACGTTCAGAACGATCGCTTATTTTTATTCGAACACGTAGACTGTTGTGACTGTGACTATATTTGATACGATCGCGTTCAAAATCCGCAGTCTAATCGCGAGGGTAGATCGATCAACGAACATCGCCGACGCAGCGTGGCACGATTCGAGAGTCGTGTTTTGTCTAGTCGCGTTGTAAAAAGCTTGTTCGCAATTCGCTTAGGGACGTTAGCCGCGATGCGTTCGGAAACTCGGTCATTCTCTGCTATATTTCGGCCATCGACGGATGATAGCGTTTTCTTGTGGCGCGCCGTGCCGTGTTCGTTGCATGGTCGAGTGCCAAGCCGTGACATAATCGACGAATTCGTGGTCGGTCGAAGTATCCGTTCGGTTCCGCTCGATCGTGCGCTCATCATCCCGAGCAACGTTCTCCCGCTGTTACGTAAACCGATCTAGCAACGAGCAAGGCGTTATGTTCCTATGAACGGCCATCTTGGAGATCCGACGCGGAGGACCGCTTCCGGTGCCAGCTGAAGACGCCATCGATCGCCCCGGATTCCAACGTCCGATGATTTTTAAGCGATACGATTCGATCGGATCGTTGCTGATATAATTAATCCTCATTGGCGATATATAATTAATATAATTATGTAATTAGTCCAACGGGATTAATTATAACTATATAATTATATAATTATAATATCATTATAATATAATTATAATATATATTATATTTATATTATATTATATTATATTATATTATATTATATTATATTATATTATATTATAATATAATTATATAATTATAATTAATCCCATTGGCGACAGTTTGTCATTTTTCTATTCATTCGTTCGAGCATTCTCGTGCCCGCTTGTATCGAGATGTTTGTAGAAGTTACGTTTGCATATTTGAATTGTTGTTGAATATTACGGCACTGCGGATCTTTAGGCTCGATGAACGATTTCTTTCGATTCGAGTGGACATAGTAGCGATCATTTCTTGCAGTTTATAAAGTAGTCGTTAATACATAAAGATCCGTGGTCCGATTATTATTATTATTATTACTATTATTATTTCTATTATTATTATTATTGTTATTATTGTTGTTAATTATTAATGTTATTATTATTGTTACTATTATTATTATTATTATTATTATTATTACTATTACTATGATTATTATTATAGTTATTGATCCTTTTTTCCTGTATTTCTCGACTTCGATAATTTTTAAACACAGTGTAAAAATATAAACAGAGAGAAATATTTATTCTTCCATTCAACTGCGCGTTCTTGCAAGTTACATAACTCTATGTCCGTACGATAGAAAGTATATTCGAAATACTTTGAGAAATTCACGAGTCTTGAACAAATGGAACGCAAGTAAGTCAATTATAAAGAGATCTGAATTTTCGGTTTAAGTTCGCAAAGGGTTTTATCCGAATTCGGGGCATTGCACCTCAATGTAAACAGTCCTGAATCGATTTCGCGATTAAAATAGACGCAGTCTCGCAGGGAAATCAACGGTTCGAAATTTTCTCCGTTCTCTACGGGACACGAAAATTCACGCGATTGAAACATCATCGAAATCTCTAATTTATTGCACGCTTTATTGAATATGTTACACGTTCAAATATGCAATGTCTACGCGAATCTTCGATAACGATGACCGTTCGACACTTTTGAAAGGCAATCTAAATTCCGTGAAATCAGAATAATTTATCGAATAAATCTGTATGATCTTATAAATACTTTCTCAACCTTCTTCGTAGAACCTAATAGAACACGGCACACTGAATACAACAGCGCAAAAGTCTCTAAATCTGGCTAAACTATTCCGCCCGTCAAACAAAACCGTTAACCCCTGACCACCTACATAAAAGCGTTTCGAAAAGCTTCTGATGTATTGTTGGCGCCTATCGGTGTCCGGTAAATTTAAGCGAATTTTTGGCGCCTACAGAGAGACTGGTTCGAACATGCCCAGCAATTTGATATAATAGCGAGTAATTTAGTAACTTTCTGCGCGTGAGTAATATGTGAGTAGACAGTTAGTCTAGCAGTTTATTAAAATAATTTAGTCACGCAGATCCATTCCGAAAGATCAACTGATTACTAATTCGGACACTTCTGTATGCAGTGAGTCATTTAGTAGTGAGTATTCACTACTAAAATACAGTAAATTCTCCCTAATTGACACCTAGATTGTGCACAGAAATAGTCTAGCAGTTTATTAAAATAATTTTGTCAAGCAGATCCATTCCGATAGATCAACTGATTACTAATTCGGACACTTCTGTATGCAGTGAGTCATTTAGTAGTGAGTATTCACTACTAAAATACAGTAAATTCTCCCTAATTGACACCTAGATTGTGCACAAAAATAGTCTAGCAGTTTATTAAAATAATTTAATCAAGCAGATCCATTCCGATAGATCAGCTGTACTAATTCGGACACTTCTATATGCATTAAGCCATTTAGTAGCGAGTATTCGCTACTAAAATATTGTAAATTCTCCCTAATTGACACTTAGATTGCGCACAGAAATGGACAGTTTGGGAAGGCTCGAATAATCGAATCTTCTCTTCCCAAATTGTCCACTTTTTGTGTATAATCTGAGCATCGATTAGGGAGAATTTACAGCAGCCACTGGCCACTACTATATATATACTATACTAAAGTGCTGAGCATGTCTGAACCGGCCTTAAGCGGCAAATTTTATCAGAAACTATTATTATTATTATATTCTACCATTATTATTATTGTTATTATTATATCTTATCATTATAATTATTATTATATTTTATTGTTATCATTATTATTATTATATTCTACCATTATTATTATTGTTATTATTATATTTTATCATTATGATTACTATTATTATTACTACCGAAAGTATGCGGGACGATTCATTGTCTCAACCATTTCGGTGTAGCTCTGAAAAACACACGACCCCCGTTCGTCATACGCCTAAAATCGACCGTAAAAAAGAATCTACCGTATCCAGTCTAAAATCCACCGTAGCCAAAGGTTTAGAGCAGCAACATCCAATTACCGGAGCACGATGTCGAACGAAGATTACCTTGTGCTATGATATCGCCGCGTCAAATAATACCACGTCGAGTGCCTCTGGAAACGAGAGAGGCACGGTTATCGCGCCGATACGGAACAAAAATCGAAGATTCCCGCCCTATCGCACCCCGTCGCGTCGCGCCGCGCGGCGCCGCGCCGTTTCGCCAAGCACGCGGCCAGGTGGTGCGAGGATCCGGCGTCGCAGCGGCAGGTGAGACGGAATTCTGGCCGGCACGGTCTCGATACGCGGCCGACACGAAAACTTTCTATAAATAATCCGATGTCCGGTCCGGTTCGGTCTTGTGCACGGCCAGAGGGTAGAGAGTCGGCTAGAAGTCGCTGCAGCGGGCTGCTCTCTCGGACCGAATCTCTCCTCTCACTCTCTCTCGCTCACTCTCTCTCCCTCTCTCTCTCTCTCTTTCTCTACCTTTCGGTTTCTCTGGGGTCGTCGGGAGCTTGCGTTGCAACGTGGTCGGTTCACGGAGCTCGTGGAACTGCGACGACGACGAAGACGAAAGCAACGAAGACGACAGCAACGAGAACCGCAACAACAACGACAACGACGACGACGACGACGACGACGGAGGAACGACGGCTGACACTGGAGGAGGGAACGACGCGATCGTGAATATAGCCGACGTGGTCCCGTCAGGTAGGCAGAGGAAGAGGAGACTGGAGGTGGACAAGTGGAATCTAGGGGGGTGGGGATGGAGTCGGATCAACGAGGACGCGCTTCGCGAGCCTCGTCGACGTCGAGCCTCGGCCGCGAGGTCCGTTGCGGCTGTCAGTACTACCAGAGCGACTCGCTTCTGCCGGAACGACGTGCTCTCATCAGTAGGCCGCCGTCCAGGACGATGCAGCAGCCACCTGCGGTCCGCTGCAGGTCAGTAATCACCGGTAGCTAGACCCTCCGCCTTTATCGCCGCGCGTCCTCTCGCTCCGATTCCGTCGATTCGCGCCCTACTTTGGCACCCTATTTTAACGCGATCCACTAGCACCCGGTGCCGTCGACCTTCGCCGCTCGAGGATCGCGTAGACAGAGCCCCGATCGAACCTTTAATTCGCTAGCTGGCTCGCAACCCGGCTTTAATCCGCAGTGCCACGCTAATCCGCCAGAAGATGCGACATCTGCGCCGTGCAAGGTAGTATAGGTTACGCGGCTCGAACTATGCTCGCGGACTGCCGCAGCTATTTAAGGTTCGCCCGGCTGGCTATACATAGAATCCTCGGTCAGCTCGCTCGGTTCCGCGTCCAGACATCCGAACGCGGACGCGACACACGATGCTTTCTCGCCGGTGTGAATGTGTTTGTCGCGCACCGCCGCGTGGGAACGCCTGATCGGCGTGGGCGGGGGTGGGAATGATCGACCGTGGCGCTCGCGCTGCCGTGTCGCCTCCCTTTAGGGAGGAGGGAAGGATGGTAAAAGTTTATGGGTGGACGAGGGAGAAAGTGATGGGAGATGGAAGAGGACGGATCATCGGGGAGAGTGAGAGGGAAATCGTTAGGGAGACGAAAGAGGATGGATCATTGTGGAGGGTGAAAGAGAGAGAGAACGTTTGGTGGTATGAGTGGGAAAGTGAGAGCGAGATGTAGGAGAGATACGATGTTCATGAGAGAGAACGTGAGTGGAAGATGAATCGCGATGGAGCATTTTTTGGGGAGCATTTTTGGGGATGAGACGGAAAGATAGAGTGAGAAAAAACGGGAAGGGAAAGAAAATGTTTGGGAGAGTGAGGGAAAGTGAGTGGAAGATGAATCGCGATGGAGCATTTTTGGAGAGCATTTTTGGGGAGCATTTTTGAGGATGAGACGGAAAGATAGAGTGAGAAAAAGCGGGAAGGGAAAGAGAATATTTGGGAGAGTGAGGGAAAGTGAGTGGAAGATGAAACGCGGTGGAGCATTTTAGGGGATGAGACTGAGAGATAGAGTGAGGAGGAAAAAGGGAATATTTGGGAGAGTGGGAGAAAGTGAGTGGAAGATGAAACGCGATGGAGCATTTTTTAGAGAGCATTTTTGGGGATGAGACGGAAAGATAGAGTGAGAAAGCGGAAATGAAAAGAGAATATTTGGGAGAGTGGGAGAAAGTGAGTGGAAGATGAATCGCGATGGAGCATTTTAGGGGATGAGACTGAGAGATAGAGCGAGGAAGAAAAAGGAATATTTGAAAGTGTGAGAGAAACTGAGTGGAAGATGCAAAGTGATGACGCGATTAAGGGATCAGGGAGAAGGAGCTGGACTGAGATGGAACGAGAGGGAGAAGCAGCATTTGGAAGAGCAAGGGAAAATGAGTGGAAGATGAAAGGTGATGGAGCGTTTTAGGCGATGAGAGGGGGAAGAAGGGTGACATAGAACGAGATAATGAGGGAGAGAGAGAGAGAGAGAGAGAGGAGAGAGTGAGATAGAGGGAACATTCGGAAAAGAGCGAGAGAATAAGTAAAGAGGACAGAGAGCATCGAGGAGGGCGAGGGAGAAAGTGGGGAGGGGTGAAAGTAAAAGGGCGATGGAGGAGAGGCCGAAGATAGAAAGGGACGACGAGAGAACGAAGAGAGCGAGAGTGAGGCGAGAGAGAAAGTGAAAGAAAGAGGGAGAGAAAGTGAACGGACGGATAGGCACGATCGAGTGAGCATGTTATTGTATCGCGATAATGGGAACACTGGTGTCGATGATCGACGCTCGACGATCGGGGATGATGACGGCGACCGGCGCTGAGTGGGCTGCGAGGATTCTTAAGATTGATCGAGGGTAGTCGCTCGTAGATCGTTGTCTTCGTTCGTTAACCCCAGTGCAACGCGTTACGACGAGACATGAAACGTTGCGAATTAATAAGCTTCTAGTCTGTGTTATGCACGGCGTCTGTTCATAATTCACGCTTCTTGTAGATAATAGGATGTTTGTGAATTATTAAAACATTAAGTTTATTACTCGGTCATCTTTGAATGCGTTGCGGAATCCTCTCTAGACTGCGGATTTTGTGCATTTACAACAGAAATGAACAACTCAGAATTGTAACGAGATTATGAGAATTTAAGGATATTGTTGCAGTGTCTACGATTAGTTACAATTATTAAAACCAAGAAAAATGAATAACTCACATGCAGAACTGTAACGAGATCAGAAGAATTTAAGGATATCGTTACAGTGTCTTCGATTAATAACGATTATTAAAAATGAAAAGACATTTCCAAGTAATTTAGATTTCTTGCGATTAACGTGAGCAATTTTTATTTTCCGCAAAGATCCACAGTCTATTCCTGTCCTACCAAAAATAACAGTTGATACATGACTGCTCAATCTGTTCTTTAGTACGTTCACTGTCTTATGCATCATCACGCACGGTATATTGTTTTTTGGAATAATATTGATTGAGAATGAAGCTTGTATTCGCAATGAAACAACGTCGTCGGATAATAATTTCGAAATGCTAAAGCGATTATTTTAATGTTCTATACAATAACGATAACGTGGACAATGAACGTATTCACTATACCCCGATATTAGCCGCCTCTTTATTTTAGTTTTGCAACCAATGTAATTGTCAGTAGCCTGTTAAAAAATTAATCAATTTTTAACATTGGAACAGTACTCCACTAGGACCAGAGAAACTTACGCGAACAATGGAAGCTGAAACTTTGTCTTCCTCGAACACTGCCCTCCCGTTACGCCGTCTTCAAACTAACAATGCGTCCAGACAGCAAAAGACTAACCTGCTAATATCATCGATGAAACACCGCTGGAGTCCCCGTCCGACTAATGCCTGCTTTCTCTACTGAAACGTCCGACTCCGGTGATACGATCACGCGACGATCAGCCACTTGTCATGGCTGCTGGATCATGATCCCGTATGATCGCGTCGGGATACTATCCCTAGATCGACAATAACGATTGTTCCGATTGTTCAAAATATCGAAATATCATTCGAGCCACTTAACGTGTTGACCGGAGTGGTCCGCGATGACCTTGACTTGTCAGTGACTATTGGAGGTCACCGGTGACCGGTAAACAAAAAATTAGTCTACACGATTCGATCATTTTATATGTCTCGTTAGTGGTAAAGAAGTCCAAAACATAATCTATTAGATCGCGGACGCACGATTTTTACTATATTGTTACGTTACTATCACTTGGGTTGTGATTGACAAGACTGCAAAAAGAACTGGTTGTATTAGACTGAATCGCGCAGAACGAGCAAACCGAGCATTTTATCAAGAGCTCAAAATTCAAATCGCGATCGACGAGATTGCTACATAATTGATTAGTTAAGTTATCATTTATAAGACTGAATGAAGAATCGACATTACTCGAGTACAGTCGAGCATTAATCTTCGACACTAAGTCGCGAATAAGAAGACTGAGACCATAATGATCGGTTGATAAGACGCCGCGAAATCGAGAACTCTGCACAAAGTTGAACCCTTGACTTAATTGTCATTAACAAATGGCGCAAGATATCCGCGAAACTGTTGAAAGCACGGAACGCTTCCACGATCGCACATCGGAAAATGTACGTAACTAACAATGTTCCCAAAACTAACGACGCTAGTCAATTCTCCCGCCATCAGTAACCTACTGACGAAGATCAAACACAGCACCTTGAACGTGCGGGATCGCTGGCACAGGCGGACCTTCCTCCGATTTTTGACTAAGATAGCTAACAAAGGCACGTTGAAAGAAGACGGACTAACCGAGACGGAAATGCCGGTCAGAGCGAGAAAGAAACGGGTGACTTTTTACAACAGCGAGCACGAGTACGAACCGATCGCGGCGCCGTCGCCGAAACCGGCGGTGGCACCGGTCGTCCGGATCACCGACACGGATGTGGTGCCCGTCGCTGACAGCGACGACAGCATCGACGACCGAGGACGATTGCCGCCTGAGCTGACACAGGCCGGCGATGTCCGGCTGCCCTTGGACGGCAAGATCGAGGACAGCGCGATGGAGGGCCGGGAACTCGTCGAGACCGGCGACACCTCCGAGGAGATCGAGACCCCGCAGCAGCTGCAGGATCGGCTGGAGGAACGATTCCTCAGCACTGCCACGCCTGGTGCCGAGTCGAGGACCGACGCCGAGGTCAACACTAGTCAGGTGAGATCTTTGAAGATTTATTTTCGTTGTATTGGGTTGGCAACTAAGTAATTGCCGATTTGTTCGATGAAATAAAAAATTTCTTTTTACTTGGAACGAAGTTCAATCTGTAACGTATTTTCCATTTTGTTCGATGACCTTTTGCCATCTCTCTATTATTCCAACGTTCATGCTCTCGTAATTAATTCGTATAACGATGGATCTATCGTAATTCTAAATAAAAGTAAGAAATAGAAATGGAAAAAATTATATGAAGATTATATAAATTATATGAAAAATTATGAATTATTAATCTATTTCCACATCAAGACCAAAAGTTAATACGAAGACTAGCCTTAGAACGTAATCAAAAGATCCAAAAGACTCTATGTTAACCGTAAAAGACAACTAACAAGATCAAACGAAACAATTAACCATCTCGATTTTAATCACCGCGATGCATCGCAGCGAATGCAAACTCGCGACCAGCACCATCTTTTTCATTCGACTCGCTATTGACTACGAAACAGGGAAAACAACCGCCGCGTACCAAACAGAATCGAACCATCGCTGATTGAAAAAACAGGGCTTCTGGTGTTTC